TTATATATATTATTTTTAAAAAAATAAATGTTTATAAATAAATCTTGAATTTTGATTGTTTGTTTATATTTACATTTTGTTTCATGTGTCAAATATCGATCATTTCCAATGTTGCATTTGTGATATTTGGTATAATTTTAATCGAATTTTGTTTACTATATTTTATAGTAAATGAAAAAGCATGGAAGCTCTTTGTAGGGTTAATGCAATTTACTCAGTAAATGAAACTTACTAAGTACGTAGTGGAAACGTACTATTAGTATATATTTTTTTTTACATTATTTTAACATTACATTAAAAATAAAATATATTTAGTTCGACAGCAACTTATATTAGTAATGTAGATATTGATAGAGTTGTAAAAGATAAACTAATGAAGAATTAATGAAACTAAATTTATTAATATAGCCGTATTTGATTTGAATTGTGATTTGAATTAGCCCGCAATCTCATTTGATCTGGACAGCCCTGGCGTGAAGCATTTTATGTTTTGCTTTTCTCAAACATATCTATCTTTAACGTATGAATGAATCACAATATCATTGAAATAATGGTCCTTTCAGTCAGACTTTATAATTTTTTTATGTTTTTCGACACTATCGAAAGTAATAATAAGCGCGACTATTGAATATTTTTTTATTCTTTTTCTTCATGTTATTTATTTTTTCAAATTAAGCATCACATAATAATTTTGACAATATACACTACAATTAAAGCAATAAAATTAAATAAACAGCATCAAATGCAATAAATGATTTAACATGATTAGCTACAAGATGGCACTGCGAGCACAAATTAGGTGTCTACGTTGTTGTCAAAAATATAAAATTTATACCAGCACAAAGTTAGCATCGTTGCTGGAAAACACAAAGCTGTATTTATGAAAAATTTTTAAAAAATGATATGTTCGTTAATATAAAAAAATTAAAGTGAAACAAACGGAATTATTCTTATAGAGTTGGGAAGATCTTTCGATTGATATACACCAATTTGAAATGAATTTTAAATTAAAGGAAAAATAAAAAATGACCAAAATCAACTCTTTTTAAAAAATTAATTTTGGATTTGTTATATTTAAAAAAGTTAAGGTGTTCACAGGACACTGGTTAACGGATTATGTGGGTATAAAATTAAAAATAATCTCTGTGCACCGTGAATCGGCGTTTATGTAAGTTATATCTGGTTCTTTTTACACAATTAGCTGTTCTTTGTGTTTGACGTAAGATCAGAGGAATTCGATATTGTCTCTTTTACATTTTCGGACTTTCTAAAATACAGAAAATAGGATATAAATAAGTCATATGTATATGACTCATTTAATTTCACTTTTACTTACTTTTGCTAATTTTAAATATTTGTTTGCAAACGAAACCAGCTGTAAATGTTAGTGATGCCAACTTAAGATTCAGGGTTTGTAGTGCCATTCATTGAAATTAAAGTTTTTTTGTGATGTCACTTAGTTAAATTTTATATTATTTTTCAACAAATAACCAGATAACCTCATAACCACATAATTTGAAAATAAGAGTAGAGATCGCGCAAAGTTGGTTATTTTTACTCAGGCCGTGTGCGAGTTCGAGTAAATTGATGGTAAATTGAGGGATATAGTAAATTATATCGGTATGGCAGCGAATGTTGGTATTCACCAGAATTTCGAGTAGAGTAAATTAGATAAAAATTAAGTATATTAAGTGTTGCCATTGAAAAAATATATAAGATGTTTAATAAATAAATAAATAAGTTTTTAAGCTTTTAACCAAAAATTATAAAGAAGTGAAATAAAAAAATAAATTAATATTTACATAAGTAGTGTTAGAATCCCCAGGAAATTTCAATTAACTTCACCTCAACTTATTTGCAGTTTCTATCATAAGAACATAACCACATAACACGATAACCAGTGCCTCGTGCACATCGTAAGTGTTATTTTACAAAAAAAAATGAAAATACATCATGTTAAAAACTCACCACAACTGTAAAGTTTAATAATGAAATCTGTGGCAGTTATATTCTGTATATTGGGGTAATATTAATATTTAATTTATTATAAAATTACTAAAGTATGTTTTTGAAAAATATATATATTCTAGAATACTTTGGTATATAAATTATGAAAAATGTGTAGAACTTAATCGTTGAAATAAATATTTACACACGTAATAATAATTAAAATTTGTTTTTTCATAACAAATTTTCGCGCATGTTTGAAACCCCAAAAATATTATTTTAACTTTTGAATAACGGCGCGAATATATCATTGTTGTGCAATAAATGAAAATTTATGCTTTTTTTCTGTGCCTTTAATTAGATTAAATTAAATAAAACAAATTTTTAAATACAAAATCCTTTTCTGTTATTACATTAAATGTATTTTTGATAATGGATTTTGACAAATCTAAGGAGATCATACAGCATTTAGCTTCAGGACGAAACCCCAAGCATCGTCGCACTCGGAGGTGGTAAAGAATCAGGTTTGAAAGAAGTTCTAACAAAATGTCTGACACATTTTGAAAACGATGAATGCTATTACCAACACAGGAGAATGATAAAACTTTATATCAAATTCGTTAGTATTACACTATTGTTTTAAGCATGTATGATAGTTACGTGGATATAGCCGTAAAGCAAAGGTTGGAAGTATAAGAACAGGTGCAGTTAAAAACTATGTACCTGGTACCATTCAAGTGAATTATTATAGAAAAAGTTAGTTACATTATTAGATATAACATATTTCAGACAGATTCTTCTTTGGTGGTAAAACGTTCTAATGCCCCCGTAAAAGTTTTCAATGACAAAAATGAACAGCCCAACATTCTACCTAAAATAGCCGAAGAACAGAACGCCACCGCACCTGAGGAAAGTAAGTCTGTAATTCGTACCATAATTGAGTCCGTACGAAGCCAGGAAAATAATATAGAGCCTGGACCGTGGAATAAAGCACACGATAAAAAGAAGCGTGGCAAATTATTTACCAAAACTCATGAACCAGGCTTTAATATACATGAAGATCAATTAAATGACAACGAATTAATTGAGAACTTTTCAACAATACAGCTAACAGATGATGAAAAAAACATTGAGAAGCCATTTAAATACTATCCAAATTTTGCAATCAAAAACAAGCCGCAAGAAATTTGGAGTACCCCAGTCACGACAGAAGAAGAGCCGAATGCAAGGTCTTATCCTCAATATAATAAATGCATGTTATATCCACGTGCTAATATGGAATTTCAGTTAGAAGAACTCATGGCCTATAATTGGTATAAGCGACGAAATATATCCAATGCATTCACGAATCAGCGTGACATGTTTTGGGACAGTCACAATATTAATGTGAGTATACGTAAATATCCAAACTTTGTCTCATACTCGCGTCCTCAAGAATTGGAACTGCTGGACTCATACTTTGAGCCACTTCATAAAATATATAACTCAAAAACTAAAACAGAATATCAGTTCGAAGAATTGTTAGCCATTAAATTTATGGAAAAATGTAATGATACAATGTGCATAGTCACGGACATGGATGAAACCATATGTCAATTAGCTGTAAAAGCTCCACGACGTAAAATTTTTTTCCAACAAGCCATTCGATTGCTGTAAAGAATAATATTAAAGCTCCAGCTTCTCTAATCAAAGAAGCAAACAAATTAACAGTAGCAATGAATAAAGATACAAAGAAATTAATAAAAATTGTCAGTCACTCTCATCCGCTCTCCATCGCCGCCGCTATTCTTGTAAAAACATTACAGAACTTTAATCATCTCGCTATTATATGTATTAACAATAAATAACGAATCTACAAGACTTTCTTGCAGATTGATTAGTTTATCTAATCTGTGTCTCATCTTTTCATCGTCGTTTTTCTTTTCTCTTCTAGGCGTTTCCACCGTATTGCCTTTCGAGATGTCAGAACTAGTGCAGCGCAATGGTAACGACGTTGACAATAACGGCGACGGTACACAACTTTAAGTGGATGACCCTGGTTTTTGGTCTAATTAAAAATAAGTTACTTCATTTCATGAATTCAAAAAAATATATATACAAACGTACCTCCAAAATTATTTACAATTAACCCAGTAATATTGTGGAGTGGCAAGTTTCCCAAAATTCTTCCAAGGTGATGGTCCCCATTCCGGACACACCAATATTTTGCAGTTTCTTTCTGTTTCAATATAAAAGATGTAACTAATTAGCATAATATTTAATGACATTTATTTAACGAAATTAACTATTCAATAAAACATCTTATTTTACTTACTCGTAAACGATTACGTGGTTTTATTTTAATAATAAACAATTAATGATATAAAAAACACAGAAATTTCACTTAACGCTCACCTGAAGAGTTGGGTGCAGTTATACACCATTCTCTGCACTTCGGAAACGGTTACTATGTAACCTCTTTCACATAACTCACCTGTATGTTTAAATATATGGTTATGTTGCCAAGAGCCCCGCAATTGAGAAATATTCTCTTCACACAGTTCAATCAATAATTTTCCGTAGCGCTCAGTCCAGGCATTCCGCCATCTTTTATTTGTCTTTACCTAAAATTAATAATAATTTATTATTCAATTACATAGCATTGAACTGCATTTATACTTTATAACTGCAAAATACTAACTTGTGAGCTGTCAGTCATTTTGTTTCCTGATATTAATCTGAAATAACTATTTTTTTTTAAATAATATATGATATGTTATATTTTTATTTATTAATTATATATTTTAATTATAAAAAAAAAATGTTTAGAACAATTCTTACCTCTTGTTTGTTTTGATTTTTTGATTGTTTATGTTTACATTTTGATTCATATGTCAAATTTCGATCATTTCCAATGTTGCATTCGTCATTTTTGGTATAATTTTGGTCGAATTTCGTTTACTGTATT